AGTGTGTGCATGCGTGTGTGTGCATGCGTGTGTGTGCCTGTGTGCGCATGTGCGTGTGCATGCGAGTGTGTGAATGTATGCGTATGTGTGTGAGAGTGTGTGCATGCGTGCGTGTGTGTGTGCATGCGTGTGTGTGTGCGCATGTGCGTGTGTGCGTGTGAAAATGTAGGCTCCCGGGGCCCCTAATTCACAGCCAGACCAGGGAGGGAGAGGTGAGATGACTCATTAGATTTTTTCCTTTTTTAAATTTCAGGAAGGGGAGAGGGAGAGAGGCAGACACATCTGTGATGACAGAGGAGCATTGCTCGGCTGCCTCCTGCACATCCCCCCACTCAGGATCGAGACCACAACCCGGGCCTGTGCCCGGGCCCTTCAGTCAGCAGGCCAATGCGCTACCCACCGAGCCACACCGGCCGGGGCAGAAGGAAAACCTCCCGTCGGGTCCCCAGGTCACGTCCCGGTTTCCTGCGTCCGTCGGACACGCAGCCCCAGCCTCCCGCAGGCTCTGTCCCCGTCTCCACGGCAACCTGCCACAGGGGCGCCCCCCACCCCTCTGGCGGGTCCTGCCGGGAATAGCTCCTGTAGCCTCGCCTGGGTCTGACTCACCTGCCCTCCCTCCCGGCCTTCCCAGCAGGAAACCAGGGATCCCTTCCCTGTTATTTTCCTACACATTTTCCCTCGATTTAAAAAAATAAATTATATATATCTTTATTGATTTCAGAGCGGGAGAGGGAGAGAGAGAGAGGAAATCCACGATGAGAGAGAACCGTCGATCCGCTGCCCCCTGCATGCCCCTTCCCCCCTCCCCTACTGAGGACAGAGCCTGCAGCCGGGCGTGTGGCCTGACCAGGAATCGAACCCTGACCTCCAGGTTCAGAGGTCGATGCTCAGCCCCGGGGCCAGGGGCCCGCCCCGCCCGCCGGCCGGGCAGGATCACGGTTTGATCCGGCGAGCACGGACGGACGTGCAGGAAAGGCGATCGTTGACAAGGCCGTTCGGCTGAGCGGTGCCCTAGGCCCCGTGGTCGGCAAACCGCGGCTCCCCAGCCACAGGCGGCTCTTCCACAGAAGCCCACGGCCCGGGCGGGTCTGTGTGGGGGACGTGGCGTCCGGAGACGTTTACGTGTGAACAGTGTGGCTCTCCGGAGACACGTCCGTCGTTGTGGTATTGATATCTGGCTCTGCGGACGGATGAGTTTGCCGACCAGGGGCCTAGCAGATTTTGGGGTGGGGGGGGCGGGGAGAGGGAAGGGGAGATGGTATGTCTCCCAGCAATTCAGGAGACACAACTGGGCCCTCACCGGTGTGGCTCCGTGGATAAGGCCTTGGCCTGCAGACGTAAGGGTCCCGGGTTCGATTCCGGCCAAGGGCAGGCTCCTTCCTGGTCGGTGGGCGTGCAGGAGGCAGCCCATCAATGTTTCTCTGTCTCTCCCTCTCTCTAAAAATCAATGGGAGCCCTAACCCGTGTGGCTCCGTGGATAGAGCGTCGGCCTGCAGATTCAAGGGTCCCAGGTTCAATTCCGGTCAAGGGCATGGACCTGGGTGGCGGGCACATCTCCGGTGGGGGGTGTGCAGGAGGCAGCTGGTCAATGTTTCTCTCTCATGGATGTTTCTGACTCTCTATCCCTCTCCCTTCCTCTCTGTTAAAAAAAAAAATCAATAAAATATAAAAAAAATTTTTGCAAATTGTATAACAAAAATTTCTAGAATCTATAAAGATGTCCTGCCAAGCATTAGGCCAGACAAAAAAAATTAAAAAAAAGGAAAAAAAAGGAAAAGAAAAAAGAAATACGGATGCCTCCTGGCTGTTCTGCGATTACTTTGATGACCTTTTCCGAGTTTGAGTTTTCTCCCTGAGACGGGCACACTGTTTTTAAAAATATGTATTTTTATTAATTTATTTTTATTTTTATTTTTTACAGAGAGGAAGGGGGAGGGATAGAGAGCTAGAGACATCGATGTGCCCGCAACCAAGGTCCGTGCCCTTGACCGGAATCGAACCCGGGACCCTTCAGCCCGCAGGCCGACGCTCTACCCGCTGAGCCACACCGGCTTCGGCGATTTCTCTAACATTCCGTGTGCCCGGGGTTGGCACTTTTATTTTCTAATTTGAAGGGACCGAATAGCAGCCCCCTTCTCCCCCCTCCCGCCTCCCCTACCACCACCGCCTCCCCTGCTCAGCGGTGGCCGCCCGTTCTCTCACAGATGCCCCAGGCACCGCCGCTAACGCTGAGAAATAGGGAACTAAATCGACCTTGATGAAGTGTGTCTTCTTTTGTCTCTGCCGGGGAGTTTATTCCGGGGGCCGCGGCGGCAGGCAGGCGGGCATGATGGGTGCTAACGGCTGCCCCCTCCCCTCGGCCGCGGGGAGCGGGCCTGTCCGTCTTCCTGATGGATGGACTGCGCGCCCCGAGGTGAGTCTGCTGGGGTGCTCAAGGCTGACGCGGGCGCGATGACAGGCTTCTCATCTTGATCACCGAGGGCCCCGAGCCGGCTGGCTGCGTCCCGCCCGCGTCCGCGGCTGCCCTTCACGGCTGGGCTGGCCAGTCTGCCTCCCGCTCCCCATCAAACACAGTCTCCCCGCAGGGAGGGAGGCAGGAGCCTCATTCCTCAGGGCGCCGGCTCGTATGTCACCGGGGCCTGAAGCTGGTGAGTTCTTTTTTTTAATATATTCTATTGATTTTTTTCACAGAGAGGAAGAGAGAGGGATAGAGAGTTAGAAACATCGATGAGAGAGATTCATCGACCAGCTGCCTCCTGCACACCCCCCCACTGGGAATGTGCCCGCCACCAAGGTCCACGCCCTTGGCCGGAATCGAACCCGGGACCTTTCAGTCCGCAGGCCGGAGCTCTATCCACTGAGCCACACCGGTTTTGGCGAAGTTGGTGAATCCTTGGTCCTCCCTGTTCACGCCGGACTCAGTGCCACCGCCGGCCCCCGGGACAGAGGGGCGGGCGCCTGAGCGAGCCGCGGGGAGCGAGGAAAACACGGGGATGTCTTGTCTCCACAAGCTCGGTCCCTACGGCCTGGGGCGTCCTCAAGCAGACACTCAGGAGGAGCCCAGGAGGACTCGGGAATCACCGTCGGGGGTTCGGGGGGGACATGTATGATGGAGCCGTGAGCTTGTATGTAGCTGGGCGTTTTGCCACGGACATGGGCTTGGGGCGGGAGAAAACACGCTATGTACACGCAGGATGGTCACCGTTCTAGTGCGTATTGATGCCGTGTGTGTGTGTGTGTGTGTGTGTGTGCGCGCGTGGGGAGGCAAGTTATGAGGTTCGATTTTTTAAAAATATATTTTATTGATTTTTTACAGAGAGGAATTGAGAGGGAGAGTTAGAAGCATTGATGAGAGTCACCGATCAGCTGCCTCCTGCACACCCCCCACGGGGGATGTGCCTGCAACCAAGGTCCATGCGCTTGATCGGAATCGAACCCGGGACCTTTCAGTAGATGCTCTACCCACTGGGCCACACCGGTTTTGGCTGGGGTTCGATTTTTGCATCCTTCCTGGGACTTTTGCAGCCTTGGGGACAGGAGGCACTGAGGCTGGGCTTTTGGGATCAAGATTGGGTTTTGGGGGATTGGGCTTGGATTTCCAGGGGTGATTTGGTCCTGGTCCCCCTTTTGCACGGGTTCCTGGGGGTGCTGCTCTCCTGGGGGAGGCAGAGCGGATCCTGGGGATGGGTTTCCGCAGGTGTCACCCCGGGGTGGGGTGCCAGGCGGCACGTGGCCAGGTCTCAGCCTCGGGCCCAGACCCAGCAGGTGTGGGGCTGACACGCCGCGGATGCCCGCACGTGGGCGAGCTTTGCAGCCGCACCTGGGCCGCCGCCCTTTCCTGCGCCTCCAGGCAGGCTGGCAGCGAGACAAGTTTTTTTCTTCTTCATTCTTTTCGCAGCGGGACCGCTAGCTGCGGCTTCTCCTGCAGACGCAGAAGGCCGCGCGCCGCGAGGGCGCCCACCATGTGATTCACCATCAACCGGAGCCTCCGGGGGCCCCGCGGAGGAGGGAGGCCCTCGGGGGGCCTGGGTTCGGATCCCGCCCTGGATGCATTGCATACGGTACAGGGGAGCGCGCCCCGCCGTCCCCCCGAGCGTGCGGGCCTCAGTTTCCCCGCCAGCCCCCAGCCCCCAGCCCGCAGCCTGCACGCGCCGCCCCGCCTGCCCCGCTCCTGCCGCCCCGCCCGCCGGACATCCCGTCCCCGGGTGGCTGCCCACCTCGCGGGCGCCTTTCCGCACTCACGCCTGTCTGTCAACCGCCGCCCACCAATCAGGACGCGCCGGCCGTCGAGGGGGTGGGGGTCCCTCAGGCCACGCCCCCTCGCCCCCAGCAGCCCCCGGGAGGGCTGTCCACCTCGCGGGCGCCTTTCCGCACTCACGCCTGTCCGTCAACCGCCGCCCACCAATCAAGACGCGTCTGCCGCTGAGGGGGTCCCGCAGGCCACGCCCCCTCGCCCCCAGCAGCCCCCGGGAGGGCTGTCCACCTCGCGGGCGCCTTTCCGCGCTCACGCCTGTCCATCAGCCGCCGCCCACCAATCAGGACGCGCCGGCCGCCGAGGGGTCCCGCAGGCCACGCCCCCTCACCCCCAGCAGCCCCCGGGGGCCGCCGGCCCCTGCGCCCAACCGGCCCGGTGGTGATCGACAGGCGGGCGAGCGGGCGGGCGGAAGCCGCGGCGCCTGCGCACTGGGTGGGCGCCGCGCTCCCCTCGGGCCGGGCCGGCCGCTCCCAGCAGCCCCCGCGCCGCGCCTGCGCCGTGCGGGGGAGGCTTTTAATTCCATTGTGGGGAGGACGGCGTTATTTTCATTAACCGGAGGCGGCGGCGGCGGCGGCGCGGCGGCGGCGGCGGGACCGTAAGTGCGGGCGGCGCGGCGCGGGCGGGCGGGGCGGGCGGGGCCGGGCCGGGCGGCCGGGCGGCCGGGCGGGGCGGGGCGGGCGCCCGCGGCCCGGCCCCAGCGCCTCTCCGTCCCTCTCCCTCCGCAGCCAGGCCTCGCCGCCCGGGCATGAGAGTCGGCGGCGGGCTCGGCGGCGGCGGCGGCTCCGGCGGCCCCGGCGGCGGCCGGCGGGCGGAGATGGAGCCCAGCTTCCCGCAGGGCCTGGTCATGTTCAACCACCGGCTGCCCCCGGTCGCCAGCTTCGCCCGGCCGGCCGCCCCCCCCGCGGCCTGCGCGCTCGGCCCGCCCGCGGCCCCCGCCGAGCCGCCGCCGCCGCCGCCGCCGCCGGACGTGACTTTCAAGAAGGAGCCGGCGGCCTCCGCCGCCGCCTCGCCGGGCGCGGCCTTCCCCGCGGCGCCGCGCTCCCCGTGGGGCTTCCTGCAGCCGCTCGTGAGCATCAAGCAGGAGAAGCCGGCCGACCCCGACGAGCCGCCGCCGCACCACCACCACCACCACCACCACCACCACCCGCCCTTCGGCGGCCTGTTCGCCGGCGCCGAGGAGCGCGGGCCCGGCCTGGCCGGCGACGCGGGCGGCCCCGGCGTCATCCAGGACCTGAGCGTCCTGCACCCGCAGCCGCCGCCGCCCGCCCCGCACCCGCACCCGCACCCGCGGGACGGCCTGCTGGGCGCCGAGGAGCCCAAGCCGGACCACACGCACGGCAAGAAGGCCAAGCGGCCCAAGCCGGAATCTCAGGGAACCAAAGCCAACAGGCGGAAGGCGCCCGGGGGTGCGTCCTCGGCCTCCGCCGCCGCCTCCTCCGCCGCCTCCGCCTCCGCCTCCGCCGCCTCCAAGCCCGGCCTGGCCGACGGGGAGGCCGCGGGCGCCGTGCTGTCGCCCAGCCAGAAGCCGCACGTCTGCGACCACTGCAGCGCGGCCTTCCGCAGCTCCTACCACCTGCGCCGCCACGTCCTCATCCACACGGGCGAGCGGCCCTTCCAGTGCGGCCAGTGCCACATGGGCTTCATCCAGAAGTACCTGCTGCAGCGGCACGAGAAGATCCACAGCCGCGAGAAGCCCTTCGGCTGCGACCAGTGCAGCATGAAGTTCATCCAGAAGTACCACATGGAGCGGCACAAGCGCACGCACAGCGGCGAGAAGCCCTACAAGTGCGACACCTGCCAGCAGTTCTTCTCCCGGACCGACCGGCTGCTCAAGCACCGGCGCACCTGCGGGGAGGCCGGGGCCAAGGGGGCCCCCGGCGGCGGCGGCGAGCCGGGCCCCGCGGCCCCTCCGGGCGCCGTGGCGGGCAGCCTGGCCGCGCTGTCTCAGGGAAGCGGCGGCGGCTCGTCCAGGAGGAAGTCCAAGGCCAAGAGCGCCGCCACCGCCGCCGAGAACAAGGAGCATAAGGCGGGCAAGGCGGGCGAGTCGCCGCTGGCCAGCGGCCTGGGCATGCAGACCTACTCGGTGGAGATGCCCGCCCTGTCGCCGGGCGGCGGCATGCTGGGCGGCGGCGGCGGCCTGGACGAGCTGCAGAAAAGGGTGCCAAAGCTCATCTTCAAGAAGGGAGGCCGGAAGAGCGCCGACAAGAGCTACCTGAACTTCGTGGCGCCGCTGCCCGAGCTGGCGGGGCCGAAGGCGCTGTCCGGGAAGCCGGGCGGCGGCCTGGGCATCGCCGCGGGCGCCGGCTCCGAGGCCCTGGGCAGCCTGCTCCAGGGCGGCGGCGGCAAGCAGGGCCCGCTCAACAGCTACGACGACGCCATGCAGTTCTCCAAGAAGCGGCGCTACCTGCCGTCCGCCGCCAGCAACAGTGCCTTCTCCGTCAACGTGGGCCACATGGCCGCCCAGCCCTCCGTCATCCAGGCGGCCGGCGCCGGCGTGCTGGAGGGCGAGGCCCCGCTGGCGCTCATGGACGCGGACACCAAGGCCTGCCACGACAAGTCCGGCATCCCCGACGAGGTGCTGCAGAGCATCCTGGACCAGTACTCCGGCAAGGCCGAGGGTCAGAAGGAGGACCCCTTCGGCCTGGCCGAGCCCCGCGTGGACCTGCACGCCGCCGCCGGGGAGCACGGCGAGCTGGCGCCCGAGGGCGGGCTGAGCCCCGGCGCCCAGGCCCCCGCCAGCGACAAGGCCCTGGTGCTGCAGGAGTACTCCAAGTACCTCCAGCAGGCCTTCGAGAAGTCCACCAACGCCGGGTTCGCGCTCGGACACGGGTTCCAGTTCGTCAGCCTGGCCTCGCCCCTCCACAACCACACGCTGTTCCCCGAGAAACAGATTTACACTACGTCCCCCCTGGAGTGTGGCTTCGGCCAGTCTGTTACCTCAGTGTTGCCGTCCTCGTTGCCAAAGCCTCCTTTTGGGATGCTGTTCGGATCCCAGCCGGGCCTGTACCTGTCCGCTCTGGACGCCACCCACCAGCAGCTGACCCCTTCCCAGGAGCTGGACGATCTGATCGACTCCCAGAAGAACCTCGAGACGTCCCCGGCCTTCCAGTCCTCATCTCAGAAGCTGCCGAGCCAGAAGGAGCAGCAGAAGGCCCTGGAGCCCCCCGCCAGCTTCCCGATGCCCTCTCAGGAGCTCACGGGCCCGCTGGACGCCCAGAAGGACATGGAGCCGCGGGCCACCTACCAGATCGAGAACTTTGCACAGGCCTTTGGCTCTCAGTTCAAGTCGGGCGGCAGGGTGCCAATGACCTTTGTCAGTAACTCCAACGGCGAGGTGGACCACAGAGTCCGGACTGCGGTGTCCGATTTCTCAGGGTACACAAACATGATGGCGGACGGGAGCGAGCCATGTAGCACGCGAGTCAAGACTCCCACCAGCCAGAGTTACAGGTAAGCCCCCAGGCGGCGGGCCGGGGCTCCCAGGATGCGGTTTCTGTTTCGTTCTGAGAACACTGCCATTGGAATGTTTGTACGCGATCCTCTTAAGAATAATGTAATGCCCTTTCAATGCAACTTTTCATATTTAGTTTATTTTGTTAGCGTGATTTTAGCTCTGTTTCTATTATGATTTTTAACCGAGATCGATAGATTAAGAATAGTTCGACCTTCAAAGTGACGATGTCTAGCAATCAAATTTACATGTATAGAGATGGTCAGGGACTAGCCCAAAAGTTTTAAATGCAAAAAAATACAAAAAGTAAAAAAACCAAAAAAAAGGGAGGAAAAACACAAAAACACAAAAAAACGATGTAAAATACAGAACAACAAAAAAAAAAACTTTGTCGCTAGGATTAAGGTTATTCTAATTGCTTTACTCTCAGGAAAGTGTGATAACGCATGGGAACTCTGTACGCTGTCGCTGTGATGGGATATCCAGTTTACAGATGGTATGGTATACGCTTCGCCATTCGAGTGAGGGATCGGAAACTTTTCACGTTGCTCTGTCTGGGCCGACAGGATCTCCGTTTCCCCGTCCGAGGAAGGGATCCAGAGAACACATTTCAGATCCTGATGCCGCCAGCCGTGTGCGTGCGGCCTCCTACTGTGCTCTGAGCTTCCACCCCGTCCCCCCTCTTCCCCCCAGCCGGCAGGACAGAGACCCCCGGGTCTCTGGTCCGAGCCCGGAACCATAGCTTTAACGAAAGAAGTCATAACTTTTAAAAAGCACCCTCTCCCTGCCCACCTGTGCCGTTCCACCCACAGGCAGCTGGCGCCTGGCCCGGTGTCGGACCCGGAGCCGGGGTTCCGGGATAGGACCCCGTTGGGGTAGCTAGTTCTTTGGAATTGGGGGGGTGTGGGGTCACACACAGCCCAGAGACATCTCCTCTGTTGCACGTCACCCACACTTCTGGGTGTCTGTGTGTGTGGTTTTTTTTTTCTTTTCCTTTTTTGTTTTTTTTCTAATTCTAAACCTGCCCTCTTTCTAAGAGTTCTGGGCCCTCCTTGTCCTGACAGTTTCAGTTCTAGAAGGAGCTACATTCCAGTGAGCATTTCACAGGCCCGTGGCACCCAAACACCCAGCAGCGAGAGAGACACCTGCCGCTCCCGTGAACCACGGGAGAGCCCCACGTAGGTCTCCATGGATCGTGATCGCAGCCGGTGCCGCAGCCAACGGGAGGCTGGCCCGCCCGCCCGCCTCCCAGCGACCTCAGAGCCCCTCGGCGGAGCCGCAGCCGAGCGCAGGGGCGCCCGTCAGTATTGTGCGGGGTGGGGGGGTCGTGGGAAGGGACCCCGACTCGCCGCCCCACCTGCATTGCCATTTGCAGCTGCTGGTGACCGGCTCTGCCCCAAACCACTCTCAGCCGTTGTGTTTTTCCCCTGATGACGTTTTTTAACTGCCGCCGGGTGTTGCTGCCATGAGTCCTGTGTACTTTGGTGGTGGTTCAGTCTCACGTCCCCCGCTGGCGTCGGGAAAGCACCACTGTTTGTCTGCCTCTCGTTGTGCAACCCGCCTGCCACGGCTTCCACGGACAATGCAGTCATTAACTCTGTGCGAGCGCACGGCGCTCCTGTTACGAAAGCAGTGTTTGGGAAGCGAGGAATTATTAAGATGGTTACAGAATACTAGTTTATTTCCCCCCCTCCCTCCTTCCCCCCCGTTAAGCGTGCTTCTGCCAGCTGAGGGTCACCTCTGAGTCACTGCAGGATTCTTAGGAAAAAAAACAAAAACGTGTTTAACCCTCTTACACCCACTTGGTTCTAAAGTCTGTATTTCTCATTTGGGGGACGCCGTTCAGGTCTGTGGGGGCGGGGAGGGCCTTCCCGCTGGATCCACGATGTGCGGTTCCCCACGTTAGTTTTATACAGGTTTTGGATTTCTCTAACTTTTATTGTGTGTACTGAAACTGCATATGTATTATTCTGATTGTTTGCTCTAGTTTACTTCCAATAAAAGATCTGTTAATCACAAAACCCGAAAAGAGGTGTCTGTCCTCTGCTTCCTGCCCGTCACCTCTTCCAGATCTTTCTGTGCCTGCGTTTCCCGGGACGTCCAGGCCTGTGGTTCGGCCTGCGGGCCAGGGGCTTGCTCTTTTCCTGTGGGTTTTTTTTTTTTTTTTTTTCTTTCAACCCGAGTGTCCCATGTTCCCGGGTTTATCGGAAACTGGTTGGCTGTTTCCCTTGTGTTTGAGGGTCACTGTGTGAAAGCAGAGATTTGATGTGTGAGCTGGGACATGGGTTCTTGAATCGGGGTTCGCCATCATCATCCCAGAGGCTATTGGTGCTTCATTCTAAGTTCCAGGATCTGTTGGTTCCTGGCACTTTTTTTTTTTTTTTTTGCCTCGAAAAGGTGGTAATAAATTGAGAGCATGACACCAATACAAACGGCCCAGAGCGTCTGCAGCTGGGAGAAAAAAGTATTGTTACGCCCCAGGTCAGCAGCGTTGGGAACGGTGGGAAGTGCAGCTGTTGGAAGGGGGAACTAGGGGAGACACTGAAGACGCAGAGAAGGATTTACAGCTTAACTACCTTAACTCGAGAGGAAGGAGGAAGAGCTGGAGGTGGCTCCGTAAAATCGGGAGGAAATGCTGCTTTGAAATTCAGTGGCCACGAACGGTAAGGGAGAAAACAGGACGCTGTTCTAGGGGCATGTTCCAGGGTTTAGGTTGAGCCCCACGATGGGTTTCCCTGCAGGGGGACGTCCGGGCGTGAGGTGGGCCCGTGAGGTCAGAAGTGAATTGGCTTTTTCTCTGCCCCGGCGGCCTGGCCGTTCTCTAGAGCAGATGGGCCCCCGCTGTGTCCCCGGTTCTGGATGAAACCCAGCTGTTGGTCGTTTCACCACCCACTTCACCCCGTTTTCCCCGTGGGGTGACCCCGGAGAGGGGGGTTCTTGCTCTAGGGGTTGGGGTGTGCAGCAGGAAGCTCGCGTCTGAGGACGGCCGTCCCCTCCAAACTCAGCGCCCGGCCGGTCACGGGTGAAGAGAAACGGGACCCAGCCCCTGCGTCTGAGATGGTTAGAGATGTCCGCTGCCCATCCTCCTCGGACGGGGCTTTCTGGTCCCTCCCTGGCGCCCGGCGGGCACTGCTGGTGGTCGCAGGGAGGCCCGAGCGGCCGCCAGGTTGGGCAGAACGGCCTCCTGGGCACAGGACACACTCCCTCGCTCCCAAGCTCATCAGACGGCGGCCCCGCGCTCCAGCACGGGGGTCTGAGTGCAGGCTCCCCTGGAGACGCCGTCCCCTGGCCTGGGCGCTCACCGTGTCTCTGCCGGACAGGCACAGCGCGCCTCTAAGGTCCCTGGTGGGCGCTGTGCGGGCCCAGGCGGCGGGCAGGCTGCGTGGGGCGCTCCGACCTTCCCGGCAGCGGGAGAGCCGTGTCCGCCTGCCCGCCTGCCCACCCGCCGCGTCCAGTGCTGCAGGGAGGGCTGTGTGAGCGCCTGTGTGTCCGGCCTCCTCCCTGGTCACTGAAAACGGACAGCTGTCCCTGCCTGGGTCAGAAAATCATAAAAACACCCCTGGTGAGATGATGGCTTTAAGAGAGATTATTACCAGGAAGGGGCCATTTCACTCTTTTTAAAATATATTTTATTGGTTTTTTACAGAGAGGAAGGGAGAGGGATAAGAGTCAGAAACGTCAATGAGAGAGAAACATCCATCAGCTGCCTCCTGCACGCCCCCCACTGGGGATGTGCCTGCAGCCAAGGTCCATGCCCTTGACCGGAATCGAACCCGGGACCCTTCCGTCCGCAGGCCGACGCTCTATCCACCGAGCCACACCGGCCGGGGCCGGTTCGTTTGTAAGGAGCGGCCGGGTTGCCCCATCGGCTCAGATCAGCCGGGCGGGCGGCGCTGGTGGCTCCTGTGCAGGTTGCGCAGGAAGCCAACGCAAGCGCTCACCGCAGAGCGAGTTCCTCCTTCTGGGGGGACGGGAGGCCGCGAGGGGGGACACAGGCCCCCGTGTCCTCGGCCAGGTCGGTGGTGGGATTGCCAAATCGGACCCTCCCTCCGAGGCTGTGTTTCTGACTCCGTGGCCCCCACGGCGGTGGTCCTCAGAGATGAGAGCAGACTGAGCCCGGCCGGTGTGGCTCAGTGGATAGAGCGCCGGCCTGTGGACCGGGGCGGGTCCGGGTTCGATTCCGGTCAAGGGCATGGACCTGGATTGCAGGCTCCCGCCTGGCCCTGGCCCTGGCCCTGGCTGGGGCTCCTGAGGGGGCAACCCGTGGATGTGTCTCTCTCCCATCCTTGTTTCTCTCTCTCCCTCTCTCCTCTCTCCTCTCTCTCTCTCTCTCTCTCTCTCTCTCTCTCTCTCTCTCTCTCTTCCTCTCTCTTCCTCTCTCTTCCTCTCTCTTCCTCTCTCTCTCTCTAAAAACCAATGGGAAGATATCCTCGGGGGAGGATTAACTAAAACAAACAAACAAACAGAAAGAAAGGAGGCGGACGGGCGAGGCCTGGAGTTTCCCTCTTGCCGGGGGCTACGGTCACAGGAGGAGAACCCTGGCCAAGGGCTCTAAGCGCAGCCCCAGGAAACAGACAGGCCAGGTGGGCCCTCCCCCTTGGCCGGGCTCTAACCTGGGACCCTTCCGCCCGCGGCCGGCGCCCCATCCACCGAGCCACACCGGCTCTGGCTCATTTTTAAGTCTATTTTTTTCAGCCGGGAGAAGAGTAAGCTAGGACTGGGCTCCAGGTGGTTTGTTGGAGACGCGTTTGCTCTCACACCGTCCGTGAGCGTGAGAGACGGAGGCCGGGCAGGGTCGTGCCAGGTCCGTACTGAGAGAGAGGGAGGAAGGAAGGAGGTTCGGAAGGAGCATGGGGGGGGGGTGAGGAAGGGGGGGCGGAGGGAGGGAGGAAGGGGGGCCGGGGGGGGGTGTCAGCCGTTTACTGCAGAGCCGGGCCCCGCTCACTGGCCGGCCGGCGGGCCGTGGGGTTCGAGGACAGCAGAGACGTGGACCGGGGAGCGGG